GGGCCACATCGCCAAGGTCTGCAGAAGTAAACGAGTATCCAGCCCCAAGAGGAACGAAAATACCTTCCGGCAGACAGCGGGCAACCACCCATCAAATCGGGACCGCCCAAACACCCAGTGGAGCCCATACAATAGAAACCGAATGCTTGCCACCATTACCAGACGAGAGGAGGCACATCAGACCGTCATCATCGGCCACGCCTCATCAGTGGATGCAAAAAAAATCCGGGTAAAGGTCACCATCGAAGACAGACCGTGCATCATGGAAGTCGACTCCGGGTCTTCCCTATCAATGGTCTCCTGGAAAACTCTCAAGCAACTGATCCCTCACATCCGCCGCCAGGATCTCCGCACCCAGAGACTCATATTAAAGGACTACCAAGGCAATCGAATCCCGGTTGCTGGTTCCAGTCATGTCCAGGTCTCGTTTAAAGACAACACCGCAACTCTACCTCTCACCGTCGTTGACAGAGACTGACCCAGTTTATTGGGATTACAGTGGTTCGCGCCTTTAGGAATTGAATTGGCAGGCATCAACCAGACTGTAAGCGAAAACTGGGAGGCGGCCCTCATCCGGGATTTCCAAGACATTTTCACCGAGCAATCAGGCAAGTACAAGGGGTCCCCCATTTCGTTTAATCTCTGCCCTGATATCGCACCCATCTGTCTAAAGCCACGCCGAGTTCCCTTTGCCCTCAAACCGAAAATTGACAAACAATTGGACAAATTAATAGCACAGGGCGTGTTAGAACCCATCGACCACGCCCGGTGGGAGACCCCAATAGTAACCCCCATAAAACCTGATGGATCCCTGAGAATTTGTGGGGATTACAAGGCCACCCTGAATCACGCGCTTCAACAGAGTGCCTATCCAGTACCCGTGGTCCAACACCTTCTTCACTCGCTCGGGGGCGGAAAAGTATTCGCTAAGCTTGACCTGGCCCAAGCGTATCAGCAGCTGCCGGTAGACGCAAAGACCGCAGAAGCCCAGACTATAGTCACGCACAGGGGTGCGTTCAAATGTAATAGACTCCAGTTCGGAGTAAGCGTAGCACCTGGCATTTTTCAAAGTTTGATGGAAAGGTTGCTACAGGGCATAAAAGGAGTCGTACCCTATTTCGATGATGTATTGATAGCCGCCCCTACACGAAGTCAATTAGAAAAACGCCTAAGAACCATCCTACAAAAGTTCCAGGACGCAGGACTCAAAGTCAAGAAGGACAAGTGCCAATTATGCACTGAGAGGGTTGAATTTCTTGGTTACCTTCTTGACAAGCAAGGTATTCACCCTACCGAAAAGAAATTAGCAGCTATTAAAAATGCTTCAAGACCCAGAAACAAGACAGACCTCCAAGCCTTCCTGGGCCTCATTAACTTTTATAACATCTTCCTACCCCAGAAGGCGACTGTTGCTGAATCCCTGCATAGGCTCCTCGACAAGAAGGCTTCCTGGTTTTGGGGACATCGAGAGGAGCAAGCTTTCCAACAAGTCAAAGACCTTCTCACATCTGATGCAGTGTTAATCCAATATAACGAGACACTACCCTTGACTGTGACTTGTGATGCTTCACCTTTTGGAGTAGGAGCCATCCTGAGCCACGTTCTACCAAACGGTACGGAGGCGCCTATCGCATTCTTTTCAAGAACTTTGTCTAAAACTGAAAGGAACTATAGTCAATTAGATAAAGAAGCCCTTGCTATTGTATCCGCAATTAAAAGGTTCCACGAATACGTATATGGACGATCCTTTTCCATAATCACAGACCACAAGTCATTGCTTGGCATTTTAGCAGGGGATAAACCAACTCCCCACATCCTATCACCAAGAATGACACGATGGTCAGAGTTCTTAGCCGCGTACGACTACCAGTTAAGACATCGACCGGGGAAAGCCATTCCCCATGCTGACGCCTTAAGCCGTTCGCCATTGCCTGAGTTCCTAGACGACCCAGCTCCTACACTTTCCACGCTACAAATAGAGATGCTTCCATCACCTCCACTAACTGCGCAGGATATCACGTTAGAAACAAAAAAAGACCCTTGTCTGGCGCGGGTCCTCAGCTGGGTGGAGAGGGGATGGCCAGAAATCGAACCCAATGACAAGTTCAAACCCTTCAAAAACAGACAGACAGAACTATTCTCCCAAAAGGTGTGTGTGTTATGGGGAGACCGAGTAGCCATTCCAGAAAAACTTCAACGCAGAGTCCTGAAAGTGCTGCACGATGGACACCCGGGCATCGTACGAATGAGAGCACTGGCAAGGAGCTACGCATGGTGGCCAGGTATGGACAAACAAATCGAAGCCTGGGTTGCCACCTGTAGCAAATGCCAAGAAACACGCGCAGCTCCACCAAAAGCACCCCCAACGGAATGGAAAACGCCCAGGGGTCCATGGTCCTGCATCCACATCGATTTTGCGGGACCTACAAAAGGACATACTTTTCTAATAACAGTAGACACCTACTCGAACTGGCTCGAGGTGAACAAGATGAAGACCACCACCACAGAAGCGGTCATCAAAAAACTAAACAGACTGTTTGCAACGCACAGATTTCCAGATGTCCTGGTCTCTGACAATGGCCCACAGTTTACCACCTTGGCGTTTGAACAATACCTAGCGGACCGGGGGATACGTCACGCCTTGACATCACCTGCTCACCCGGCGGCCAATGGCAGGGCTGAACGAATGGTTCAGTTTACTAAAACAACCCTACACAAAATGGACCAAGGAAACATTCACGACAGAGTCACCAGAATGCTCCTTCTCCAACATATTACACCGAACAGCACCACAAACAAAAGCCCAGCCGAACTTCTGATGGGCAGAAAACTTAGATCACACCTGGACCGCCTACACCCTGCCTACACCCCAGAAAAGCCCCTGGGTTCCAGCAGCAAACATCATACATTCAAGGTAGGAGACCTCGTATTCGCTAAGAATTTTACAGGTGACCCATTGTGGGTCCCTGCCAAGATAACACAAATTACGGGCCCCCGTTCCTACCGATTAGAAACCACAGATGGAAGATTGTGGAAACGCCACATCGACCAGCTGCGTTCAAGGCTAATAACTACCCCCTCCACGAACTCTGAAATCGAAACCAGAGGGGGAAGGGAAACCGAGGATTTTGAAAACGTAGAAACAAATGTTATTTGAGTGGCACATGATCCATGATCTGTTATTTGAGTGGCACATGCTCATTAACTGGATTAATCTGATAATATCTTGCTGACAAAGTACCAGCACTAGTCAGACAGAGAGTTAAATGACATGTTATTATTGGTTTTCCATCAATAGAATATATAAGAGAGGAAGAAAAGGAAAAAGTGTCAGATAAAAGGAAACAACCAACTCCAGATAGACCAGAATGTCTCAAAAAACAAAAAACAAAAAAACAGCAGGACAATGACGCTAATGGGGACACCAACGTGCCTACCGTCCCTGTCCTATTGTTTCTCTTATTCTTCTTTTATTTTTCTTATATGTACCCATTTCATGTATTCACAACTATGTATACACTTATACTTATTATCTTGTAAACAATTGGCAAATCAAATAAATAAAAATAAATAAAATAAAATAAATAAATTTTGTTTGTTTTGCTTGAAAAACATTTTGTTTGAAAGGACTTTGGTCCCAAAGACATTTGCCTCCTGGTCCTTTGGCTCTACCTCTCATTGGGACCTTGTGGGCTGACGGGTTTTTTTCTTTGTGAAGATTATTTCCTTAAGGTATTTCATTCTAAATAATCAACCAGTAATATGCAAAATAATTCCCAATTCTTTTCTTCATACTATAATGATTGACAAATGGATTAACCTAGTAAAATATTACTGCATGATAAGGAATTTAATCAATTTTCTTAATGATTTTCCTCCTCATGCCAGATAATGACTTATGTGTAGCTGGTTGGAGAAGAAAGGAATAGAACATGTTCCTCTGTACAAACACTTGTGTTTGCTTTGTACGTGATATAGTGTGACCTAGATACCAATAGACTGCATCTCAAACAATCCTTCTGTTAAAATACTGAAGCTTGCAGGTCACACAACAGTGATTGGTCTCATTTGAGACAGCAACGAATCCGCATACAGACAGGAGGTTGTGCAACTTGCCTCGTGGTGTAACTGGAACAATCTGGAACTGAACATACTCAAAACCATAGAAATGGTGGTAGACTTTAGGAGAAAGCCTTAGACTTACCTTTGTGCAGCAACAGCAATGGTAATTCTCTGATGCCTCATCTCTTGCTGGATCTTGCTGCCCAAAAGTCAGGGTTTTTAAACAATTTCTGAAGCGGGAAATGGCAGGCAGCTACTTCTGGCCTTTGGTGGTGCAGCTGGGCATGACTTCACCCTGAGAAACTGGCCTGCTGCCACTGATGCCACCTCTTTGCCAGCCTGAACAAAGGTAGCAGCAGCGATAGGTCGTTCATACTGGCAAAGAGGCAAAGGAAGTCTCGCCAGGCAGGGAGGGATCTGGGCTGTGTGGGAAGCAGTGTAGAATAGTGAAGGAAGGCTTGGCAGGGATCCAGGCCATGTGGGAGGCCAGGGAGGAGGCAGGCAAGTAGGCTGGGCCATGTGAGAGGCAGCTGGGCTGGGACTCAGGAGTTGCTCACAGACTCACCGAGGTAGAACAAGGCTGCTCAGCTGGACTGCAAGGTGAGCTGCAAGTGCCACATGCCGCAACCACTGTGGCAAAGGCAAGCAAGTTGGCTATGCCATGGGGGAGGCAGCTGGGCCAAAATTCAGGAATTGCTCACAGGCTGACCCAGGCAGATCAGGGCCACAGAGCGAGCGCCACATGGGATGCAGCTACTGCGGTGAAGGCAGGCAAGCAGGCTGGGCCACATGGGAGGCAGCTGGGCTGGGACTCAGGAGTTGCTAGCAGCCTTACAGTCTCACCAGGCAGAGATCAGGGCAGCTCAGCTGGGCTGCGGGCACCATGTGGGATGCCGTGGTGAAGGCAGGCAAGCTGGCTGGCCCGCAGAGACCATGGGTCGAGGCAAGTGAGGGAGCCAGAGAGCAGCAGCAGCTATACCACAGGCATGACTCTAGGCACCGGCCAAGGTGGGTGAGGTGAGATGAGGAGTGACTAGGCTGGGTGCAGCAGGCCGGGTGGGGCAGAGCTAGCCAGTGGTGGGATTTACTGGTTCTCCAAATTGTGCAAAAAGTTAACAACCTGTTTGCCCAAACCGGTGTGAACCGGCTGAATCCCACCTGTGGATACATTATAGAAATTAAGTGATAGCCAGATGAAGTCATGTGGTCCTTGATAAAATGATTTTTCTAGGTCAGTGGTGGTCATATGTATGGTAGTTTGTTTCCCTATTGCTTCTCCATCAATAGGTGAGTGGCATGTCTTATGTCAGCTATCAAACACTTCTTCATAAATTCACACTAGTTTGGTGAAAAGCTGGTGATGTCTCATTTTTTAGACAAGGATGGATCACAATGAATCTGGACTGGAGCCAAATATCTCTTTCATCAAAAGCCCTCTGTGGTTACAGCCTAATACACTTCTAGATAATTCTTGTGTGATCCAAAACATTCTCCTTTCTATTCGGATAAATTTAATGGACATGGGGTACACTGATGATTTTTAAGTAATCCTGGCATAGTACCACAACAAGGACACATTTGGATTACACAACCCTTGGGTTTTTTTTAAAAAAAAATCTCCTCCTCTACCATTTGAGTAACACATGGTAACCTCATTAATATAAGAGCAACTTATTGGCAAAATACCGGTGCCAGACAAAACATCAAAAGACATGTTGCTCTTCGTTTCCAAACAACAGGAAGAAAAGAAAAGCCTTCTGGGTAAAAAGAAACAACCACCTCCAGACTGACTAGAGAGCATCAAAGAAAAAGAACCAGCAGGACAATGATCACAATAGAGATATTTCTGTTCGTTTTGCTGCTTGCTCTGCTGATTGTCTTCTTCCTGAGGCAACTTTGGTTCCGAAGACATTTGCCTCCTGGTCCTTTGGCTCTACCTCTCATTGGGACCTTGTGGGCTGATGGATTTTGGCTTCGTGAAGATTATTTCCTTAAGGTATTTCATTCATTTTACCCCACCCCCCAAAAAAACCCCTTTGATAATGGAACCCGTTTTAGTAGAGAGAGGTGTGGTCTCCCCTGTTCAAATGAAACTAGATGTTCCTCCTGTGGAAAATGCTTTATTTTCTATTCCCTGTGGTGGACAATGGGTGAAATGTGGTAGCCTAAATGGCTCTTTCTGATTCTGCAGTTCTACAATGATTTTAAAAACTTTCTGGATCTGACTTATGAAGAATAACTTCTGTTTTTTGATAATGACTCATACGTAGCTGGTTGGGAAAAAGAAGCAATAGAAAAGGTTCGTCTGTGTCTTAATATCTGCTTGCTGTGTCAAGCCTGAAGCCGACCTGGCTGTGGCCCATTTTCTTTTCTGTGGGAGCGGCGTCTTCTTTCCTGTCGGGGTTTCTTACCACAAGGCTTCAGGATGACACAGCTTGGAGCTGAAGTGGTGTAGAGGTAGATGTGGGGTTGTAGTAAAAACATAGCTCTCTAATGGGTCAGGGACATTCCAACGGCTGCCTTGCCAGAGGAGGAAGAGAGACTTAACCAGGCAACTAGCTAGTATCTAAATTGGATCATGTGATTTATTGTTTTGGAAAAACAGGAATATGGTTACTTTTAATATGGTGAAAAGTGCAGGAACATTTAGAGTTGGTTTTCCACCAGCTGTGACAAGACGACAGTTCCCCAAAAAGCTGTTCTTTGAGGAATCAACCTGTCTCAGAGTTCTATCTACAATGCGGTTACTACTTTATTTATTTTTTATTTATTTGATTTGCCAATTGTTTACAAGATAATAAGTATAAGTGTATACATAGTTGTGAATACATGAAATGGGTACATATAAGAAAAATAAAAGAAGAATAAGAGAAACAATAGGACAGGGACGGTAGGCACATTGGTGCGCTTATGCACGCCCCTTGGAACATTGACATGCTGTGTAGTATAGTATGACATAGATATTTGTGGTTATAAAGTCTAAGTTAACTAGCTCTCCACTTCTGGCACATTCTGATTCCCCCAAGACTTAGCAGTGTAAGATAGCTAACTTAGTATTCAGAAATGGCTTTCAACAAATTGTGTGTGTTAAGAGTATCATTGAGTTGGAGACTACAGATAGTCCTCGACTTACAACAGTTCATTTAGTGTCTGTTCAAAGTTACAACAGCACTAAAAAAAAGTGGCTTATGACCATTTTTTTTATACTTCCAAGCAGGGGTGGGATTCTACCAGTTTGGCCTGGTTCGGCCAAAGATCATCTGGGAAAGAACTCCGACGATCAGCTGCTGGGCCCACTCGCCCGTTCCAGCTCCATACTGACCTTTATTTCCTGCTTTTGACACTCAGCTGCATCGTGCAGCACAGCGGATTGCTGCGCATCAGCCGTTGAAGGCACATGGAGGGTGCAGTTCTTCTCCTGAATCAACAAACAAAACATGTCCATTCTTAGAGAAATGAATCAATTAAAAAGAGGAAAACGCTCATTTCCTTTCTCGCCTTGGTCTAAGAGAAGCCAAGGAACAGTTTTACCATGTTACCCTATATACCAATGACTGCGTCTCAAATGATCCATCTGTTAAAATACTGACAACTTGCCTCGTGGTGTAACTGGAACAATCTGGAACTGAACACACTCAAAACCATAGAAATGGTGCTAGACTTTGGAAATAACCCTCCCATACTACCACCCCTTACAATACTAGACAACACAGTATCAACAGTAGAGACCTTCAAATTTCTAGGTTCTATCATATCACAAGACCTAAAATGGACACCTAACATCAAAAACATCATCAAAAAAGCATAACAAAGAATGTTCTTTCTGCGCCAACTCAGAAAGCTCAAACTGCCCAAGGAGCTGCTGATCCAGTTCTACAGAGGAATGATTGAGTCTGTCATTGCACCTCAATAACTTTCTGGTTTGGTTCTGCAACCCAACAAGACAGACACAGACTTCAGAGAGTAATTAGGACTGTAAAAAAAAAAATTACTACCAACCTGCCTTCAGTCGAGGACCTATATACTGCACGAGTCAAAAAGAGGGCTGTGAAAATATTTACAGACCCCTCACATCCTGGACATAAACTGTTTCAACTCCTACCCTCAAAATGACTCTATAGAGCACTGCACACCAGAACAACTAGACACAAGAACAGTTTTTCCCCGAATGATTCTTGACTCTTAACGAATGTATCTTTTCTTTTATGTACACTGAGAGCATTTGCACCAAGACAAATTCCTTATGTGTCCAATTACACGGCCAATAAAGAATTCTATTCTATTCTATTCTATTCTATTCTATTCTATTCTATTCTATTCTATTCTATTCTATTCTATCCTATCCTATCCTATCCTATCCTATCCTATTCTATTCTATTCTATTAGTAATCTGAAAAGCATGTGCTATGTTTCGTAAACTCATGCTGGAAGTCCTCTTTATCATTAAGGATCTGCTTCTAGACTCATGTTCCATTCTCATTTCAAGCAGAAAGTATATATATATTTGCTCTGTTTTTCCTTGAATGTGTTTCACTTCTCATCCAAGAAGCTTCTTCATTTCTGACCAAATGGTGGAGGATGGAAGGATTAATATTCCTTGCAGCCATCTGGTTGTTAACACTTTCTGAGAGTCATTGAGGCCACTTCAGTGGTGGTATTCGACCGGTTCTGCCCAGTTCTGGAGAGCCGGTAGTGGCGATGAGTAGTGGAGACTGAACCAGTTCTCTTTGCTACTCTGTGGTTGGCCCACCCGCCCGCCTGGGCTCCCAATACTCACTTTTATGGCCAGAATTCAAAGTGCAGCTGCTTTGCGCAGCGCAGAATAGCACCGCGCAGCAGCTGCTGCAGCGACCACCATCGTGCAGGCGTGCAGGAGGCAAGTTAGAACACCTCTGCACCTGCGCAAAGTGCGTGTTTGGCATGCGTGTGCATGCAAAGTGTGTGCATGTGCGCAAAGAGCAGCCATCAAGCCATGCCCACCAAACCGGTGGCAACTTTATTTGAATACCACCACTGGGCCACTTCAAGGTTTATCTGTGCCCTTAAGGTCATCTGAACAGTGAAAATTGGTGTGGAGCTTCCTTGGAATTGCTGAAAAGACTGTGTTGTAAACAAGAGATAGTTGGTGTCATACCCCTCGGTTGAGAGAAGGCTGTTCAATCTTAATGTAAATGGCCTCTTTGACCCCTCTTTCAAACCACTGGTCTTCTCTGTCCAGAATGTGGACTTGGCTGTCTTAAAAAGAGTGACCTTTGTCTTTCAAATGCAGATGGACTGCTTAATTTTTTCCTGGTGGGTTTGTTCTCCTATGTTGTACCAAGTGTTTGTGAAGTGGTTGTTCTGCTTCTCCAGTGTACAGAACTGTGCAAGCCTCACTGCATTGTACTGCATATATCATAATGCTAACTTTGTGTCTGGCTGGGATGGACAAGCTTCTGCTTTAGTATATTCTTGGGTTTAAAGAGCTATGGTGGTGCAGTGGTTACAGTGCAGTACTGCAGGCTACTTCTGCTGACTGCCGGCTGCCTACAATTTGACAGTTCAAATCTCACCAGGCTCAAGGTTGACTCAGCCTTTCATCCTTCTGAGGTGGATAAAATTGTTGGGGGCAATATGCTGACTCTGTAAACCGCTTAGAGAGGGCTGTAAAAGCACTGTGAAGTGGTATATAAGTGCTATTGCTATTAAAGTTTGCACGTATATCGTGTTGGTTGAAAATCCTCCTGAGCTTTTTAGATATTCCTGCAATGTAGGGAATGAAAACATTACTTCATTTGTTGTTCTCTTCTTTGTCTGTTATGGAGGAGCTCCTCCTGGGTCCTCTTTTGGATTTGATGAAGGCTCAGTTGAGACTGCTGTATGTTTCAATTATGGTATCATCAGTATATAATAGCATTCATGAGTGTCGGGATTGTAGGTTGTTGATTACAGTATCCATGCAGAGAATAAAGAACAATGGTGAGTAGTTGATTTCTTTATGGATGAAAAATCTCAAACATTATTAGAATACAATGAACCTAACAGATACATTCAGTGGTGGGATTCAACTAATTTAACAACCGGTTTTTCCTAATTCCTGGGTGGGCATGGCTGGGGGGGGAATCATGTGACTGAGTGGGCATAGACACTCACAGCCAGGTTGGGTGGTGCAGGCAGGCCAAAGCAGCAGTGGCGCAATGGCGGAAGCCTTAGACTTACCTTTGTGCAGCAACAGCAGTGCTGTCATGCCCTTGTTGGAGTCTGATTCTGAGGGGGAGATTGAGCAGCTCACAGGGAATGGGAGTGTGGCTCCGATGGGTGTGGAAGAAAAGGGGGAAGGGCACAGTCCAGCTGGGCATTCAGAGGAAGACCCAGGGCCATCCCTGTTAGGAATGTAAGTCACCTAACAGCTATTTGGGTTGGAAATATATAAACCAGGACAGACATTTTAATACTGACTCTTTAAAAGCATGCAAAAACTGCAATTGGGTGTGGTTTCTCAAACGACCATAAGATGGAGCCAGAAACCTGGGTTGTCTTAGCCTTAGTCTCAGAAGAGAGTGTGAGTGAGTCTCTGTTTCCTTCTGTTGGAAAGTATTGCTGTTCCTCCATTTTTCCTAATTGACTGCTATTCCTGGATTTGATCTAAGTCTGATACTGAACTGTTTTTTGACACTGGAATTTGTTATTGGATTATCCTTGGATTGAAAACTGACTGATTTAACCTGTGAATGACTTTGGACTGCTTATTTTGAACTTTGCTTTAAACCTTTCTGGAAGTAAAACCTACATTTACTGTACAGTGTATCTGTGTGCTGTGTGTGTATTGTTCAAACACTTCTCTCAAGTACGTCTCCCTGTATGTGCTCATTCTCCTAATGGGGAATTACCTCAACAATCCCCTCTTCATCCTAGGGCACACAGAGAGGAACGGAGAAGGGAGCAACATGGCTTACAAGAGAGAAAAAGGCCCTGATCTCTTTCATTAGTTGCAGCTGGGAGAATAGGATATAAGTG